GACAGTCTTCAAACCTTACTAGACATCAACAGATTCACACAGGGGAGAAACCATTTAAATGCATGGAGTGTGGAAAGAGCTTCAGACAGTATTTACACCTTACTGTACATCAACGAATTCACACAGGGGAGAAACCATTTAGATGTGTGGAGTGTGGGAAGGGTTTCATTAGGAGTGCAAGCCTTACTCAACATAAACGGACTCACACAGGGGAGAAACCATTTAGGTGTACAGAGTGTGGAAAGAGCTTCAGGCAGAGTAATAACCTTACCAAACATCAACAAACTCACACAGGTGAGAAACCATATAAATGTTTGGCGTGTGGAAAGAGCTACACTGAAAGTCGGTCACTTGCAAAACATCAACAAACCCACAGAAAGGAGAAACCATATAGATGTATGGAGTGTGGGAAGGGTTTCATTAGGAGTGCAAGCCTTACTCAACATAAACGGACTCACACAGGGGAGAAACCATTTAGGTGTATGGAGTGTGGAAAGAGCTTCAGGCAGAGTAATAACCTTACCAAACATCAACAAACTCACACAGGTGAGAAACCATATAAATGTTTGGCATGTGGAAAGAGCTACACTGTAAGTGGGTCACTTGCAAAACATCAACAAACCCACACAGAGGAGAAACCATATAGATGTATGGAGTGTGGGAAGGGTTTCAGTGAAGCTGGAAAACTTAAAAGACATCACCGAACTCACACAGGGGTGAAACCATATAGATGTATGGAGTGTGGAAAGAGCTTCAGGCAGAGTAATAACCTTACCAAACATCAACAAATTCACACACGGGAGAAAGCATATAAATGTTTGGCGTGTGGAAAGAGCTACACTAAAAGTGCGTACCTTGCAAAACATCAACAAACCCACACTGAAGAGAAACCATATAGATGTATGGAGTGTGGGAAGGGTTTTAGTGAGGGTGGAAAACTTACAAGACATCACCGAACTCACACAGGGGAGAAACCATATAGATGTATGGAGTGTGGGAAGGGTTTCCGTGAAGGTGGAAAACTTACAAGACATCACCGAACTCACACAGGGGAGAAACCCTTTAGATGTACAGAGTGTGGAAAGAGCTTTATTCACAATGGAGCACTTATTGTACATCTACGAACTCACACAGGGGAGAAACCCTTTAGATGTATGGAGTGTGGAAAGAGCTTCAGTCAGAAAGGAAACCTTAAAAAACATCAACAAACACACAGGGGAGAAACCATATGAATGTATGGATGTGGAAAGTGCTTCAGTAAGAGCATAACTCTTAGAAAACATCAACGATCTCACAGAGAAGCAACGGTTTAAATGTTTGAAGTGTGGAAAGTGTTTCAGTTATAATGGAGTTCTTAATAATCACTTACAGACTCACATAGGGGAGAACCCATGGAGATGTCAAGTTTTCTCCACAGAATTCACTTTGTCCCTCATATCCACAAACTCTCATAGGGGGAAATCCATTCTAAATGCATGGAGAATATTTGATGTTATGGTGTTTGTATGGAGTGTTGTGCATATATGTATTAAAGCAACAAAGGTAATGTCTCATAATAGTAAGTATAATGAAAGATACAATGTACTGTTAGGGATATGCAGAATATCACCCTGAGTGCTCATTGTGAGTGAACATGTGCTAAGAGTCCATTGATATTTGGTCATTGCAGAGAGAAATGGGAATGGAGAGTTGTGGAAAAGTGGAGCACGACAGTGGTGTTTAGGAAGCAGGATTGGCTCTGGAATCCTAGAACTGTAGAGTTGAAAGGGACTTCGGTCTTCTAGTGCAACTCCCTGTTATAAGAACAGCAGCATAAAACTCATTTTTATAATTGCAATAAAGGAACAATGAAAACACAGAGAGGCTGAATCCATCTTCATGCAGAAAGTAATCTTTAAACCATCATATATTGCTTAATATTGGCTACAGCACAGGGGAATGTGGGCAGTGCCAGTGTTTATATTTTATTTATTTATACACACATACATAGATAGATAGATGCCCTGCCCATCTGGCTGGGTTTCCCCAGCCACTCTGGCGGCTTCCAACAAAAGATTAAAAATACATTAAAACATCTGTCATTAAAAACTTCCCTAAACGGCTGCCTTCAGATATCTTCTAAACATAAGATAGTTGTTTATTTCCTTGACATCTGATGGGAGGGTGTTCCACAGGGCGGGCACCACTACCGAGAAGGCCCTCTGCCTGGTTCCCTGTAACCTCACTTCTTTGCAGGGAGGGAACCGCCAGAAGGCCCTCGGAGCTGGACCTCAGTGTCCGGGTTGAATGACGGGAGTAGAGACAGTCCTTCAGGTATACTGGACCGAGGCCGTTTAGGACATTAAAGGTCAGCACCAACACTTGGAATTGTGCTCAGAAACATGCTGAGAACCAATTTGGGTCTTTCAGGGGAGTCATTTGCCTGCAGGGAAAGAAATCTCTGTGCCCACGTAATTGGCCCTGTTTCAGAAATCAGGTAGTATAGGAGGCTACACTAGTCATGTTAGACTTGTGGGGAAGAATAGGCCTATGAGCAGCAAACAAATTTAGTCCTCTTTATGTTGTGGTAAATCATCTTCAGCAAGGGTCCAGATTGACAACATTCTCAGCCGAATGCCTCTTAGAAATAGGTTAATGATTTTGTATTAACTTTAGGGAAGGCCAATCCGGTTCTAATAGCAGCTACCACAATTGATACATGGACATTCCTTACCACCCCCTTTGTATGCGTGAATCATAGAATTGTAGAGTTGGAAGAGAGTGTGACGGTCATCGTATTCATCACCCTGAAATGCAGGAGCTGTTGGGATTTTTGACTACATGCCGTTCTGTGCAGCTTCACACAGAGTCAATTAAGAGTTGGCCGACAGCCAAGGATGACTGAGCAGAGAGGAGTTATCTGCCTGGAGATATGGGACCCTGGCTACAGCTTTACCATTGGTTGAGGTCTCACATAGGCATGATGACTTATGACCTTACTGACTGGACAGTATGTTGGCCGGTGTGGTGCTCTGAGTTCTGAGAGTTGTTTGGAGTTTGTTAAGAGAGAGCTGGTTAAGATCCGTAGCAGCGTCTTGTTCTTGTTTCGTCCATCCTGCCTGCAACTGATTGCTTTCTGGAACTCTGCGTATGCTCTGCTAAGGTCTGGCTAAGGTCCTGCAACAGGTCAAAGTTGCAAAACACCAATAGGAATGACATCTTAATAATCCCTGACAGATGGTCATTAAGATATTAAGACTGCACCTGGGACTTCCTTCTGCATGCAAAGCATTGCATCTGAGGCCTTCTGCATGCAAAGCAACTGCTCTGCCACTGAGTTTTGCCCCTCAAAGCAAAGCCCAATTTTGTCCATTGGCCCCCACTTTTTGAAAAAGTACGCATTGTAAAGACCACCCCATACCCACCACAATTTCTCCGAATAGGGACGTCCTATTCAACAGTACGTGGGTGGCGCTGTGGGTAAAACCTCAGCGACTAGGACTTGCCGATCGCATGGTTGGCGGTTCGAATCCCCGCGGCAGGGTGCCGTCCCGTCATTCGGTCCCAGCGCCTGCCAACCTAGCAGTTCGAAAGCACCCCCAGGTGCAAGTAGATAAATAGGGACCGCTTACTAGCGGGAAGGTAAACGGCATTCCGTGTGCTGCGCTGGCTCGCCAGATGCAGCTTGTCACGCTGGCCATGTGACCTGGAAGTGTCTGCAGACAGCGCTGGCTCCCGGCCTATAGAGTGAGATGAGCGCACAACCCTAGAGTCTGGCAAGACTGGCCCGTACGGGCAGGGGTACCTTTACCTTTTATTCAACAGTAGGGTTTCCATATGTCTGGAATTTCTCAGACATACCCAGGATACTGTAGTTGGAAGCAGTGTCTGGGTGAAAATCGGCAAAATGTCCCATGTCGGCAGTGCCATTTTTGCTGATTTTGCTAAAAGATAGCTCAAAAACTGCATTATATTTTTTTGCAAAATAAGTTCAAAAACTTTGGGAAAAACTAAAGAAAAAGCTGGACTGGTTTTGTGTCCGGATTTTCACTTTTTGAAATATGGCCACCTAATCATCATCAACATCTTCCAACATACATATATAAAAACATAATAAAACATTAAACAGCTTCGCTATACAGGGCTGCCTTTCAGATGTTACTTATCTCTTTGGTTCAGGGGTCACATTTCTCCCTCCAAAATTTATCCAATGGATATAGGGACATCCTATGGAAAATAAGACGTTCTGGGATTAAATCAGAAACCAGGATGGCTTCTGTAAACCCAGGAGTGTCCCTGGAAAAGAAGGACGGAGGGTCTGGGCACCCTTTAATATTATTGTCAGTTGCTGCTCTGAACCCCTTCCACCCTCTTTCCCGGGGGGGGGGGGGCTTTTCAGAAGTAAGGTGTGCGTTTCCTCTTTCGCTGCCAGGGATTAAACCGTAACCATCTCACCAAATAAATGGCAATATAGAGCTTCTCTGCCACCCTAGCAAAACAGGTCTTCCCCGGAATTAGGACGGATAGATTGTTCAGTGATATTGGAGGTCAGATAAAAAAAACTTTTCCCCAGAAGACATGGACCACGGTACACCTCCACCAAATGTGAAAATAGGAATCCGAGACCTTCTGCATGCAAAGCAACTGCTCTACCACTGAGCTGCAACCCCCCCCCCCCAAATAACAAAGCCTAATTTCTCCATCAGCTCCTGGTTTTTAGAAAAGGTACCCATTGACACTGGACCAGCCTTTAGGGTTGTCATAAGTTACGGCTCAAAACCCCTTCCCATGCGGGGGCTTTTCGCTTTTCGCTACCGCTCGCAGGAACTGAAGGCATTGATTTCTCACTAAACACTGTAAATGGGAATATACTGTACAGTAGATATTGCTGGCTGGGAAGGGAATTTCTCTTTGCCGGGAGCGGGAGGCGGATCTCCTGCCACTCATCCCTCCCTCTGGGCCAATGAGCTCCGTTTCCTAGAGAGGCAGGAAGTGGGGTTTGTTTTTTTTTGGGGGGGGAGTAGAAGCAAAGTTGGAGGGGGAGGGTCTCCATGCACATCCCCTGAAGAGAAAGAGGCCCGCAGAGGAGGATGAAGAGGTGCCACGTATTTTGGGGGGCGGGGGGCGCGATTTGGGGTAGGGGGTTGGCAGAAGAATTTGCATTTCCTCCCCCTGAATCTATAAACAGAGCAGCTGGGAAAGGAGAGTGGGGGGGAGGGGAGAGCAGGGAAGGGCTCCCCACTTTTCCTCTGAGAATCAGTAGGGGGGGGGCGTGATGCAGGCCATGCTGTTGCAAAGTGGGGTCCCCCCCAAACAGGGTTTGCATTGCAAGATCCTTTTTGAAGCGCAGAGATCCAGGCAGCCGCCCATGGTGGGGGGAGGGGGGCGAAGACACTTGAGACGAACCAGAAAAGGGCGCCCCCCCAGTGCAACTTAACTACAAAGGGATTTGCAGCCCCACCCTCTGCATGTTGACTCAGAAGTCAGTCTTCCTCCGTTCAAAGGGGGGGGGCAGCCCCATTCCACCTAGTGATGCTCCTCTCTGCTTAACACCCTCCATCTCCCTTCTCACTGCTGCCCCACTCCTTCCCCCCCATCGCTCCCCCCAGGCTCTGCCTCTGCGTCAGGGAGCCGGTCTGGACGGGAGGGGAGAGGTGAGCTCCTTCAGGACCCTGACCTGCCCACCTCCGAAATCTGCTGCTGAAGCCCCTGCCTCAGTGGGGCGGAGATCGGGAGGGCAAGCAGGGGAGAGGAAGTGGAAGCAGCTGGAGAACAGAGTCGCCTCTGGATTGGGAGAGAGGGGGGAGATTTTGAGATGGACAGTGTCAAGGAAAATCAGCTTCTGGAGCTTCCTTAATAAGAACGGGCTGATGTGAGAAGGAAGGGGGAGACCCCCCAGCTCCCCTTTCAGAAATCCTAGTTTGGCCTGTTGATATTGCTTTGGCATAAAGTAAAGAGTCATGTTGGGTTTCCCATGTTGGGACAATTTGCTGTGCTGCTTTTGTGCCCCAAAACTGGAGGGAAGAGCCACATTTTCCATTTCCTGAAGTATGAAAAAGGACCTTGTCGGTTTCCCTCCTGCTTGGCAAGGGAACTGGGCCCATGGATGGCAGGATTTGAAACTAATCCAGGTCTCAGGAGCCCTTTAAAAACCTTCAAGGCAAAGATTGGAGGAATTAAAGAAATGCCCCCTCCCCAGCTGGACTTGAGGGGAAGAGGGGGGGATGAGATTAATCCCCCCCTGCAGATTTTGATGCTGTTACTTTCCAAAAAGAGGCTTCTCCAGATATCCTCTTACGACTTTTTTGGAAAGGAGAATCAAAGCCCCCAGGGGTGGGGAGATCTGGCCTGTCTTGCAGGATTGGCCCAGCGCAGAGGTGCTGAGGGACTTTCTCTGCCGTTTCTGGCAGCCTCACTCCTGCCTGGCCTCGTCCCCATCCAGGTTGCCAGGAGGGTCTTATAACACTATAGGTGATCTAAAGCCCAATTCCGGGTATAGGGCGGTATATAAATTCAAATAATAATAATAATAATAATAATAATAATAATAATAATTTATGCATTGTTCTCCTGAAAGAGCTGCTCCCTGCTTTGAATTGCTTCATGGCAACAGCTGAGTCCTGGAAGTGGCCTAGTTTCTGCCTCCTTGTCCTCCATCTCTCCCACAGGCAGCGCAATGGCCTCAGAGGCCCTGTTTGGACCATCCCTTCTTAAAGATGGAGTGGAAAGAGGAGCCAGGCAGCTTCCTCAGGTAGGGAAAGAGTAACGGGAGGAGGGAGGAGGGAAGAGGCACAGATGGGACCACCCAGCCTCCCTCTGTGTTGAGTGGGAATGATGGGGATCTAAGAGCAGCTCTGTCTTCTTCCTCTTCTTCTTCCAGGCCCTCTTGACCTTTGAGGAGGTGGCTGTGTTTTTCACGGAGGAGGAGTGGGCTCTGCTGGATCCTGGCCAACGAGCTCTGCACAAGGAAGTCATGGAGGAGAATTATGAGATGGTGGCCTCTTTAGGTAAGGGCAGATTTGTATCCCTCTTGGCTGGTAGACATTGAAAGGGTGAATCTCCTGTTTGAGCCATTTATTCATGCCATGAAGGAGCTGTTAGTATCTCAGCTCACAGTCAGAGGTAACTGGCCTCCCCCGAGACAAACTGAGTGAGATACTTGTTTACCTTCCGTCTGCGTCTCCCGGCAGACTAGGTCATAAACCAGCCATTCTCCTCATTAGACGTGAGAAGAACACACCCTCTGCTTCTCTTCCTGCTTTCCCCCCCAGGGAGGGGAAATGAGACACAGGAGTCTATTTACATGTCTTTTATTCCTGTCATTCAGCAGTACATAGAAACGTGACTGCACCCTTCAGACTCCATCAGAAGAGTCACAACTCCGCCCCTGTACTTCCAGCACAGGTCAGATGACACTCTGAGCTAACATCCGGTGCTCAATACAGAGAATAGACTCCCCCTTTTTCCCAACAGTACATTTGCAAACAACAACATCCTGTTTTGCTTTCCAGCCACCTGCAGCTGGCTTTTGCATTGGTGCTTTTATCCAACAGGAGCAACATAGGAATTAGGCCAGTGACCCATCTAGTCGGGCATCCTGTTCTCACACTGGCAAAACCAAATGCCTCTGGGAAACCAACAAGCAGGATTCGAACACAAGAGCACTCTTGCCTCCTGTAGTTTCTAGTATTTAGGAACATTGCTGTCTTCTGACTGTGGAGGCATTGCAGTGGGAAGGTAAACGGCGTTTCCGTGCGCTGCTCTGGTTCACCAGAAGCGGCTTAGTCATGCTGGCCACATGACCCGGAAGCGGTACGCCGGCTCCCTCGGCCAATAAAGCGAGATGAGCGCCACAACCCCAGAGTCCGTCACGACTGGACCTAATGGTCAGGGGTACCTTTACCTTTACTTATGATGTAAATAGCACTTCTGTTTCACTTATTCCACATAGGAGAGATACTCAAGTCTGAGCTCATCTCGCCAGAAACAGAAATATATGGAGATGTTGTCCTGGACCAATTGAGAGGTATGTCCTTCCACTTTGTTGTGAGGCTGTATCTTTGTGTATCTCATTTCAGTGTGTAGGAATATAAAAAGAGCCCATCAGGATGAGGGCCCCTCTTTTTCTGCATCCTGTTCTCAGAGAGACTCTCAAGGAGAAACCCACCAGCAGGGCCGGAGGGCAACAGCGGTCTCTCGACTCACGAATTTTCTCTTAAACAATAACATGCTGCAAATTTTATATCCATATTCCATAATTGTGATAGTTGTTCTCCAAATCCCCACTTCATATCCTTTTAAAATATTTCATTCAAATGATGATATTGTAACCATGTTGTCAACATTCCTGGTAAATCCTTCAACCCTTTTAATTTAAATTCTCCACCCTCCACTCTTAATAAATAAGTCACCCAACGTTCCGCCATAGTTTTATTTTCACTGCTATGGCTTCCAAAGGTGAAAGTCAAAGTGGTGTTTTAGCTCCCAATAAATTATTATATATGTCCCATATTCCAGGGACATCCAACTTCCAAGAGACTGCAATCTACTCATTGCCCACTTTTCCCTTTCATTTCCAGCAGATACCTAATTCAGTTTTGTACATCTTAGCTAATTTGCTCAGTGTCAGATACCACCTGTACATCATTTTCATAAAATTCTTCAGTGTGCAACATGCTGTAAATTCTAAATCTCTTCCACATTTCTCCCAAGGACTCACCTCTATATTATGGCCTGTATCTCTTGCCCAGTGAATCATAGCTGGTTTTACCAGTTCATCCTCTTCTCATAACAAATAGAATTGAGTTGTGATCAGAAATAGTCCTCAGTAGAATTTGCACTTTTTTGGGGTCTTAAATCTTAGTTCTTTAGTTATGCATATTGAATTATTTTCCCAGAAGAATTCTTACCATTGTAATAAAATATCAGTTGTCTTTCTAGTGAGTGTTTGTGTCTCCATTTTTTCTCATTTGGCGCAAAGACTCACCAATACCATTTTCTCTCCTTCAACAATTGCCTGTACCCTGATAATTCTTCCTTGGCCATCTTTAAAAAAATTGTTACGGGTAAAAACCATGTTTGTATGCATTACCACATTGATCTTTTTAGTTTATTGCTGGTTATAAACTCTTCAACAAATATTTTGGTTACTAATACTCCGGTGTGTCAACTTGCAACGTGTCTCCTGCAATAAGAGACTATTTTCTGGGATTATTTCCTTTCCTTAAAATGTGGTATATAGGAGAGGGGAGATTGTTGGAGGTGTTGAAATAAAGAAGGTGCTGATTGGTCTTGCTGTGTATTCCCTTGTTCTGATCCTTGAAATCCTAACAATATTTTCTTATCCCCCACTTAAAACCAGGTGATGAAGAAGGCAATCAGAATTATGAGGGGCCATCTGTAAAGTACGTCAGTGTGAGTGAACACCTTAGCACAAATCTACAAAATAACACAGAGGAGAAACCCTTTAAATGTATGGAGTGTGGAAAGAGCTTCAGTAAAAATGGAAATCTTACTGCACATCAACGAATTCACACAGGGGAGAAACCATTTAGATGTATGGAGTGTGGGAAGTGCTTCAGTGAAAGCGGTAATCTTACTGTGCATCAACGAACTCACACGGGTGAGAAACCATTTAAATGTATGGAGTGTGGAAAGAGCTTCCGTGAAAATGGAAAACTTATTATACATCAACGAACTCACACCGGTGAGAAACCCTTTAGATGTACGGAGTGTGGGCAGAGCTTCAGTCAGAATGGAACTCTTACAACACATCTACAAATTCACACAGGGGAGAAACCTTTTAAATGTATGGAATGTGGGCAGAGCTTCAGTCGGAATAGAACTCTAACAGCACATCTACGAATTCACACAGGGGAGAAACCGTTTAAATGTATGGAGTGTGGGCAGAGCTTCAGTCACAATGGACGCCTTACTCTACATCAACGAACCCATACAGGGGAGAAACCATTTAGATGTTTGGAGTGTGGGAAGTGCTTCAGTCAGTGTTCACACCTAACTCTACATCAACGAACTCATACAGGAGAGAAACCATTTAAATGTATGGAGTGTGGGCAGAGCTTCAGTTCGTGTTCACAACTTACTCTACATCAACGAACTCATACAGGGGAGAAACCATTTAAATGTATGGAGTGTGGACAGAGCTTCAGTCGGTGTTCACAGCTTACCCTGCACCAACGAACTCATACAGGGGAGAAACCATATAAATGTTTGGAGTGTGGAGCGAGCTTCATTTGTAGTTCAAGACTCACTGTGCACCAGCAAAGTCACACCGGGGAGAAACCATTTACATGTTTGGAGTGTGGGAAGTGCTTCAGTCAGTGTTCACACCTTACTATACATCAACGATCTCACACAGGGGAGAAACCATTTAAATGTATGGATTGTGGAAAGTGCTTCAGTCATAGTGGATCTCTTGCAAAGCATCAACAAATTCACACAGGGGAGAAACCATTTAAGTGTATGGAGTGTGGAATGAACTTCAGACAGTGTTCACACCTTACTAGACATAAACGAACTCACACAGGGGAGAAACCATTTAAATGTATGGATTGTGGGAAATGCTTCAGTCATAGTGGAGGTCTTACAAGACATCTACAAACTCACACAGGGGAGAAACCCTTTAAATGTTTAGAGTGTGGAAAGAGCTTTAGTGAAAATGGAAAACTTACAATACATCAACGAACTCATACAGGGGAAAAACCATTTAAATGCATGGAGTGTGGAAAGAGCTTTAGTGCAAGTACAAAACTTACAGTACATCAACAAACTCACACGGGTGAGAAACTGTTTAAATGAATGGAGGGTGAGAAGTGCTTCTGTTATAACTGAGTTATGAACTCTCACAGGGGAGAACCCATTCAGATGTATGGAGTGTGCCAAGTTTTTCCAACAGATGTTGGACACTTTGTCCCTCATTTCAACAAACCCATATAGGGAAAAATCAATTGTAAATGTATGGAGTGTATTTGATGTTCTGGTGTTTGTATGGAAATTTGTGCATATACGTATTAAGACAGTGAAGGTAATGTCTCATAATAGTAAGTATAATGAAAGATACAATGTACTGTTTGGGGTATTCAGAATGTGGCTCTGGAGTGCTCATTGTGAGTGAACATGTGCTGAGAATCCATTGATATTTGATCTTTGGCAGACATAGTTAGGAATGGAGAGTTGTGAAAAGTAGAACACAACAGTGGTGTTTAGGAAGCAGGATTGGCTTTGGAATCCTAGAACTGTAGAGTTGAAAGGGACTCCAAGGGTCCTAGTCCAACTCCCTGTTATAAGAACAGCAGCATAAAGCCCATTTTTATAATTGCAATAAAGGAACAATGAAAACACAGAAAGACTGAAACCATCGTCTTATGTGCATGGCTCCATTAACGGGCAAAGTGGATAAAATCCCTGGTTGCAACTGGAATAAAGAGGTTCTGAGGGGAACAACCAATATGGGGAGGGAAGGTGGCACAGGGAAATGTGGGCATTGCCAGTGGTTTCAGGAGAGTCATTTCCTCCCTAAATGGTGGTCCAGTGTCATTTCAGTGCGTACCTTTTGTAAAAAGAGGGAGCTGATGGGAGAAAGTTAGGCTTTGTTATGGGGTGGGGGGTGCAGCTCAGTGGGAGAACAATTGTTTTGCATGCAGAAGGTCTCGGATTCCTGTCTTCACGTTTGGTGGGAGTTTAGGGTGGTCCAGGTCTTCTGGGGCAAAGTTTTTTAATCTGACCTTCAAAATCTCTAAACAATCTATACATCCGTATTCAGCACTTGTGTTATTATAAGTAGAGGAGGACTGCCTGCCGGGAGCCTGAGGGCCCTGCTCTGCCTCTCTGCACCCATAGCTGTCAACTTTTCCCTTTTCTTGCGAGGAATCCTATTCGGAATAAGGGAATTTCCCTTTAAAAAAGGGGAAAGTTGACAGCTATGTCTCCACCTGGCCTAGGGTGGGGCCTGACGGGCTTCACAAGGCTGCTGCTCAACAGAGAGGCCGCCTCTAAATTGTTTCTAAAATATTTTTTATATTTTTAAAAATTCTGCTTTAGTGTTTTAACTGCTTTTAACTGGGCTGCAAGGGTATTCAGTGGGAGGGGCTTGGGAGGAGAGGAGTTGGGGAGAGCCTGGGAGACCAATTTCAGTGGTTCTGGGTAGGGGGAGGTATAGCGTGAGAGGAGGGGCAGGCCAGGTAAGGGCCGGGAGGCTCAGGCACTTAATGCCTCTGCTGTGTGCCAGCCCCTCCTCCAACTTGGGAAACTGGTTGTCATATCAGCCAACCCTTGGGTCTGCGACTGCTACTGCTGAATGCCAGGTCCACCCAGAATAAAATTTCCCTCATCCACGGATCTGATTTTGGACTAGGAGTCTGATCTGGCATGTATTACTAAAACCTGGGTGGGTGAACAGGGTGGAGTTGGTCTCAACCAGCTGTGCCCACCTGAGTACCCAGTGCAGCATCAGGCCAGAATCGAGGATTGGGGGAGAAGGAGTTGCTGTGGTCTATAGAGATTCTCTCTATCTCTAGGCTCTCTGTCCAGTTGAGGGGGAATCTAGAGTGTGTGTTCCTGGCACTGGGCAATCGGGAAAGATTCGGGATTCTGCTGGTTTATCGCTCATCTCACTGCCCAGCAGTCTGCCCAGAGTTGGTTTTAGAGGCGGTGTTGAAGACTCCCAGACTGCTGGTTCTTGGAGACTTCAACATCCATGCCAAGGCAGCTGGCTCTAGGCTGGCTCAGGACTTCATGGCTGCCATGACAACCATGGGGTTGTCCCAACATGTCACCGGCCCAACAAACATGGCAGGCCACACTCTGGACCTTGTTATCTCTACTGGGCAGGGAGAGGGTGATCTGAAGGTGGGGGGCATTGACATCAGTCCCTTGTCATGGTCTGATCACTTCCTGTTGAGATTAAGATGTCAGCACCTTTTCCCTTTCAAAGCCCTGGCCGAGCTGTGGAACACCAGAATGCCTCAGGCTAACTCCCACTTTGTGGAGCCCGATTGGCCCATGGTATACTCCAAAGTTTAGGGTGAAGAAAGTAGCTGGGAGACTGATTGAATGCAAGTGGAGAAAAGATCCAAATGAATGCAACTGAACACTGGTAAGGGCTCATTATCGAGCCTACCTAGTGGCAGTGAAGGCAGCAAAGAAGGCATACTTTGCTGCCTCCATTGCATCTTCATTTGACATCCAGCAGAGCTTTTCTGGGTTGTACGGAACCTTTTACAGGCGGGCCCAAAAGTGGTGGAAGAACCAACGGTAGCTCGCTGTGACTTGTTTGCAAAGCATTTTGAGGAGAAGATCGCTTGCTTGTGTGGATGAGTTTCAGTTGGTAAGGCTCAAGGATGTGGACAAGGTGCTCGGATCAGTCAGGGCAACCACT